AACAACAACAACAACAACAATTTGATCATGAGATTCATTGAAAAGCTTATTAGTTCTATGCTTTTGTTGCTAAATAGAGCACATTAAAAAATATAAACCCAGTCCTTTAAAAAAAAAGTTTCTTAAGTATTTGTAGTATATTAGTAAGAAACTGGAATAGAATTCTGTTTATTGTTTAGAATATTAATAATGAACCATTTCTTTTCTGTGTGAAAATGATGATTTCTTAATGGTCAGTCCCTAACATTTCTGTTCAAGCATTTTTTAAAATTCGTTTTTGCCAAGTATCTGCTATATTTTTAACTGGGCTAAGATTTTCTAATTTATCACATACTCTACAACTTCAGCACCACATTATCATTTATTTGACCAATCTTCCTAATTCTCAAATGTTTTCATTCTGTTCTGAGCATTGTACAGGTAATCCCTGGGTTACAAATGACAGACGCAAGTACAACCCGTAGTTAGGAACCAACTGCCCTAAACCTACTCTATTAAAAATTCAAAGTACATACAATGGTTCATGATGACAAATGGGTGCTACTTTGCAGCATGCATCAAAACATTATTATTATTACTGTATTATTATGTTAAACATGTTTTAGTGTGTGTGGAAGTGGTTCTTTAATGTTTTCGTGCATGGAAAGGTACACTGTATACTATATACTAAGACAAACATTTGACCAGCTGACATTTGAATTGTACTTAACTGTTCCAGCTTATGTACAAATTCAACTTAAAGATAGAAATGGAACTCATTTGAATCCAGGGGCAGCCTGTAATAAATGTGCTGTTCAAATAACAGGTACCTTCTGTACTCATTCATTTGGAATAAGTTGCTACTCATTTGCTTTTTTGCCACCAGCAGGTAACAATTTATTGAATATTTACTGAATGAATTGTATGTCTTGTACTTTCAGGAGATATTCTTGGTCCTTCCATCAATGGCTTAGCTTCATTGATTAGGATGCCTTATGGCTGTGGGGAACAGAACATGATAAATTTTGCTCCAAATATTTATGTTTTGGATTACTTGACTAAAAAGAAACAACTGACGGATAATTTAAAAGAAAAAGCTCTTTCATTTATGAGGGAAGGTAAGCATTTTAGAAATACACTTTTGTTTTTTAAAAAATTTTTTTTCAGGTAGAAATATTTCATATTTCAAAATAGATTTTGTCTTTGACATATTTCAGTGGGGATAGAAGGTGTTGAAATGTGTCAACAGTACAACAGTGGGAAGCTGTTACTTTTTTTTTACTTCAGCTGATTGTTCTATAGTTGCTGCTAAGATGTTTGTTAATAATGGTGTAAGGAATTAATTTCTGGAGGGGTTTGTATCTTATAATTCATCTGAAATTTAAGATTTTTTAAAAATCTAAAGGAATGAGTATTCCTTTACTCATTACATATTTATGGAGTGTATCTTATGTGCCAAGATCAGTTCTAGTGCTGTGGAAACAGAGGAAGTCTGAGCCTTTCCTCTTAAAGAATTCATTGTCCATTGGGTAAGATAGTCCTGTACATAAATACATGTAGCGTTATGTGGTGGGGCCAGGAGATATGTTTGTATCGAGAGGGCTTACTAACCCCTCCAAAAATGCCATACTGGTGATGATTCTTGTTTTAGTTATCTATGCTGCTCTGACAGGAATATATACCACAAATGGGATGGCTTTAACAAATAGGAGTTTATTCTCTCACAGTTTTGGAGGCTAGAAGTCTGAGTTCAAAGTACCAGGCACTAGGGGCTTAGTGAAAGCCCCTTGACCTTGGGCTTCTGCTCTGCCTCTTGCTCTCAGCCCACTGAAGCTAGAGGCATCTCTTCACTCAGGCAGCTGCTGGCTGCCGAGGCTGACAAATTTAATGTCGAAAAGTGAAAAGGCACAGTCAATTATTATCAAAGCACACAGCAGGCCATTGATTCAAGTCCATTAAAAGTTCCACTATTGGCAGAGCATGGCAGGCTGCTGAATGAAGACTTGGCTACATGCAGGGTCCAAGCGTGCCAAAAAGTTGCTTCATCAAAGTTGCTTCTTATATACTGGAAGCAGCCCACATCCCTAAAGCAGCTACTCAGTTGCTCCAAAAGATTCCACCATGGAGTATTTACCAATCTCACCATGGGGAATAACTATATCCAGCTGCCCAGCCACTCAAAACCAGGCCCAGCCAAATTGACACACAATCCCAACTACCACAGTTCTACTCTGATTCCTTGAGAGGATAATACCACTTGCAGACATCCAGATGCTTTGTGTGCAACATGCAAATAAGATCAACTGACATTAGATGGGTCCTTGCCATGTGGTAGACAGTATTCTAAGCACTTTGCATCTAATATCTCATTTAATGGTTACAATTAGCATTAATTTTATCTTCATTTTCACAGACGAGGAAACTAAGGCATAATAAAGTCATACTTGACTTTTTATAGGTCATATAGCAGGTAAGTGACAGAGCTAAGATTGGGACTCAATATCTGTCCTGAGACCATGCTCTTAAGTATTCATACCTATGAAAAAATGTAAAGTTGTGAGATATTTTTAGTAACAATGAAAATTTGATGTCCTGAAATACTCCAAAAGCCAACCACTCAAAATTACAGTCTCAGTTTTGCATTTCCTTGTTATAAACAAAAACCAACTACCAAACTCACTGCCACCGAGTCGATCCTGACTCATAGTGACCCCTCGTTGGGTTTCTGAGGTGGTATCTCTGTGGAAGTAGATTGCCCAGTCTTCCTTCCACGGAGTGGCTGGTGGGTTTGAACCACCAGCCTTCTTGTTACCAGTCAAATGCCTTAGGGACTATGCCACCAGAGCTCCCTTCCTTGTTAGAGGAGCTTAAAAATGACATTGTGTATCTGAGTTTATTTGTCTACAGGATATATAGGCTACATGCTATCCACCAAACTCATGAGGATTAGAATACAAAATGACTGGAAATTCCTTGTTCGGTATAATCAAAGAAAAGTCTAGTTTAGTGTTTTCCATATCCTAAATCCTTTCTTTTTCCTTTTTTTTTCATCTCTCTCTCTCCCTTCCTTCTTCCTTCTTCCTTCTTCTTTTCTTCCTTCCCTTTCTCTCACCTTTCCAAGGAATGGGTTAAATGCAAAGTTGAGGCAAGCTGTTATGCTTTTCTGCTAACTTTTCCACCATTAAGAATAAGAAGACTCAGTAAAGACGTTATTTTGATGTGATCCTTTCTTCTAGTTTCCTTCATTGTGTAGATACTTATTTATCCTAAATTCTATGTAATAATAGTAATAATAACTAAACCCATTTAATTGCTTTGCAATATTTTCATTTAATTCTTACAAGAACCATATGATATAGGTGGACTATTATATTTCCATTTTACAGGTGAGAAAACTGAGGCACAGAGTGGTTAAATAACTTACCTGTGAGTGGGCTGAGCTTTGAACCCAGGCAGACTGGCTCTGGAATCCACACCCTTCTGGTGTTTCCTGGCTTGTTTGAGGCAATAAGATAGGATGGAAGAAGATCAGAAATTAGTCTAAGATGCTTGGATATGTCTAACATGAGAGAGGTTTCAATGGAGGTTCTGATGAAATATTATGGAAAGAAATGGTGTTCTGTAGGGAAGAAAAATGTTAGAATCTGGGTTATAGGGTTAGATCAGAGTGAGCTTGTGGTGTGTTGAGTAAAAATAAATCAGATAGTGCAGAGCTCTTTGGATCAGAATGAATAATCACACCCGT